ACACCATGCGACCACAGACCACAACAGGACATCATTCCTGCCTACTGTCTTAAATCTTAACAAGAACTTATTGAAGAAACATCTACAATAAAAGTTACAACACCACCTAATTTCCCTTTCTGTGTTAAATAAGTATGTATTGATATAAATTGATATAAATTAAGGTTTTATGTGGTAGACCAGCAAGAAATTGCTGGACCCGTCTATTTCACAATCAATGCTGGACATGCACAACAGAAGTTGGTATTTAATTATGTTTTGGTGTTAAGTCCGAGCCTGGTCAGATAGACTAACTTACTTTTTGGGAGGTGGGCACATAATGCAGCAGTGCTTTTCTACAACCATATCAGTTACTGCAGCTGCAATGGAGCCAATTTTAATCAATGTCCTTTAAAAAAAGACAAAAAAAAAAAAACAGTGGTTCATGTTGTTTACATTCTAACAACTGGCTGTTGTAAGAGCTTTTATTTTGTAGGAAATTATTTTTGGGACACCTCCATAGTTATCAGTCTGGTTCTAAACTTTCCATTGACTCTGTTAGTCCTGCCTTTGAAATCAGCCTCTATCCGCTCCTTTCCAGACTAATGCACCCTTTGGATGCCGTAAATATTTCTTGATGGCCAGCTTTATTAAGCCCATGTACCTTTTGTTTTAGGTCTCTACTAAAACTTCTACTGTACATTTCTTTTTTGACTTTGACAGAACTTTGCTGGTAAAAATATAGACAATCAAGTAATCATAAAAACTTTGATTAAACATCTCTACAAAAAGCATTTAGGGGTCAATTTTGGATAAAAAACATTAACTTACAGCTTTGCATGGAGAGCTCTCCACACAAGGCATTATGAGATTTGCTGTCACAGTGGCCCGCTGTCGCAATAGGCTGCCACTACCCCACAGCGGCGACTAATAAAGATGCTGCAGGCACCACGCAGGGGACCAACAGGTAAGTGATCATCTGTCCGAACAGTAGGCTGACTGAGTTAATTATAGACCTCGCTCTATATAGTGATTGAGGGATTTAGGGGATAGAGTGGACGTTCGGACACAGTAAGCTTGTATTATCTATGACAACAGAAACTTTTAAACAAGAGTGTTCACAAGGAGAAATGGGCTCGTGCATGCTCTTGCAGGCGTTTTTTGTTTTTTTTTTCAAGTAGGGAGGGCGGGTCTTTTAAAATAATTTGAGAAAGTTCTCAAAAATACCTTTAAGTTAAGAGTATTTAAACCAAGCAGCTTGCTCCCAGGAAAAGAACTGGAAGTAAAGCTCAGAGGTGTAAACTATTTTTTTAAGGATTCTTTATGATTATTTGGCATAACAAGCAGTTCCCCCCTAAACCAGAGGGTGGCAGCAGTGACTATTGACAGCTTCAGCATCAGACTCAAACAAGTTCAGAAGCTTTATACTGAAGTCACAAACACAGAAAAAGGTGAGTCATGCCTTGCTCGAAGTCTGCTGATCAAACAAGAAAAAGAGTGAATGAAGAAGGTGAGAGCAGAACAAACACCAGAGGCTGCAGACACATGCTAAGCCTTGTTTATAAACTTATGAAAGGATTTTAAGGAAATTGTTACCAAAGTTCAACTCAAAGCCAAGGAACAATTCATTACAACTTCCTAATGGTCCAGATCATGTGCGAGTTTTGGCAAGAGGTGGAAGTCACAATATGGGACAAAGATTGATGCATGGTGGAGGTCAAAATTCTCCGAGGGCTTTTCTAGGTACTTTAAGTAGTAATGCTGCTTTAGGCTATGGCTGCTGGAGGACATAATGGCCATTTTTCGTCCCTCTACTTTTTTGTTCGACTTTTGTCTCTTCATAGTAGCTACATCTGGCCTGGAATTCTGCTCAACTTTGATAAGTCCTGTAGTTCTGTTGGGCATCATCTAAGTTACTGTTTCAAACAATTCCATGTACCATGCTCATAGATTATCCACTTGGCCTGGTCTTTTAGTTGTTAACCCTGTGACTGTTAGACATTTCTGATGCTTGACATTTACCATCAATAACTGGACATGCTTATCTTGCTTAACATATTGACCTGCAAACTAACTCTTAAGAGTTTATCTTCTTAGCTGTGTGTGTCAAGGTTGTAAGCGTAGAATGTTGCAGGATGTGAATACTTTTGGAAGGCATTATACAATAAAAGCAGAAGCCTTTATGGTTTATTAAAATATTAAAATATAGACACACTATTTAAAGGCATCACTGATCAGGCCTGTTCAGTTCCACCACATTTAACGGGCCCTCCAAGCATGCAAAATTTGCATATCATTTACACAGACTATCAGCTGGACGCTGTGCTTAAATTTAGAAGTAGGCGCGGAATAGGTTCACCTTGATCAGGTGTTGTTGGTAGTGGATAAATAAACTTAGTGAAATCAATGCAAGTGCTTTTTTTAAGATTGTGTAGAAATCAGCATGAGACTGTCTGTAATTGTTACTCTTGCAACTTGTAGTGAAAGACTAACGCTACAAAAAGTCTTACTAGCTTTCGTACACTGCCGTTTCTTTAAGGTGTTCTTCCTACGATTCAGAGAAATCACTCAGACTGAGCCTTTTCTGGTTGTAGATCAGAAATCAAAAGTATCTGTATTATTTTTAGTATAATAGCAGCCATATTATACACTAAACTTGGGGTGTTCTCTTAAAACTGATACTTTCAAAGAGTAAAAAAAAACCTCTGGATTGTATTATTTTTTATTTTTAAAGATCTAGAACACAAGAACTTCAATTTAAAGTAAAACTTGAACATAACATTATAGAAAAATCTGTTGTTTGTTAAAGTCGTAGGGAAACGTCTGTTCCAACGGTTACCTTTCCGAGTTCTCCCGAGTGGTGCCTGACTTTACACGAGTCAATAAAGTGAATGTGATTGGTCGTTTATCAAGGGGGCGGGATTGTTGTGGCGGAAGGTTCGCAAGCAAGTTTGATTGCGTCCGGTTTGTTGGAAGCATCTTGCTAACTAGTTAGCAACTTAGTGCTAGTAGGTTCCCAATAGGAAATTACATTGGGACCAAGTAGCTCTAAATTGGTGACTTGGAAACGACACTGTCAAAGAACGCTATGTACAGAGAAAACATGCAAGAGGAGGAGAGTTTTGTGTCGGAGGTCGTGGATGAGTCTTCTCCATAATACATTTTTTATTTAGAGGGGAAAGCAGGGACGAAGTTGTTGTGGAAGAGAACGCCAGGGCAGCAGAAGCTTTGTTTGGTGTAGAAGGCTTACAGTCGTACATGTTTGAGCCCTTGCCTCGCAACACTGCCAGTTCTGTTAGCTCTACGCCTGCCGAAGACACAGACGTCCATCCCCGTGAACACTGGGACGTAACTCAACGGTAAAGTAAATAATGATTTTTATTTCTTATCTCAACCATTGCGTATATTAACTGCAGCATCAAGAACCAAGATGCTATGACGAAAAAATTTGATTGACAGATGACCATTGACATATGATTGGCCGAATTTAGGTGTACAAGCTGACGTACAACTAACTGGCCTGCATAAGATAACGAACCCCCCCCCCCCCCCCACAGATTTTAAGACAGGATTTTTCTAAAAATAGAAATTTTCTCAAGTTTGGGACAATATCGTCAGATAAAGAGTGCATTTATATACACGTTTAAGAATTATTGCCAGAATTATTTGACTTTTAACTTTGACTTCCCTACGACTTTAAAGGACAAGTGCAAGACAGCATAATAGGTTTTTTTTTTCCCGAATCAAAAAAATACAAATAAAAATAACGAAAGAAAGAAAATCGGTTTAGCATATTAACTGTTGGAAATACTGCCACTGTAGAAAATATGACCAACAATTCCAGTGACTGACACACATACCCAAATCAGACTGGGATCAACAACAGCCAGAAAGTGTTGGATAAATGTAAGATCTAGGAAAAGCGCCTACTTATAACAGAGTTTGCTGACTGCTTTAAACATAAACAAAATGTACAGTTGGTGGGCGAATATGAAGGTGCTGCATGGAGGAACTGATGCATGGGTAGGTAAGAGGATGTGAAAGAAAGGCTTGGATGTATCATATGTAGGATACAGCCTGATGGGTAGCAGTTTTAATCTGGCGGCAGAATTAAAGGTGGTGAAACCCTCCCCCACCTGTTGCTGAGAACTGTTAGTCATCTGGCTGAAAGAGGGCTACTACAGCTTTTGTTTGTTATTAAGAAAAGCAAGCATTGCTTTTTGGAAATATTTCCAAATGTATAGTATGAGTCTCTCTCAATTCCGGATGAGAAAAAGAACTGTATTGCATAATACTTTATTTTACATATGTGTACTCTGTGTTTATTTTAGCAGAAATAGTAGGAGTAATAGTCATTTTATTTTTTTTAAGATAAAATCATTTAGTTTATGATGCACATTTCTTTTCTGCCATGTGATGGACTGGCCAACTGCCTCTCATCCATTTACTGCTGAAGAACGATATCACTCTAAAATACCAGCGCAGAAAAAAAAAAAAAAAAAAACAGATGAGGATAAAATCCGCATCAAAGAGTACTGTGGTTTCCCTTTCTAACATGGGATTTTCAACATTTTCTGACATCCTTGCAGTTTTGAAGAGCCTCCAGACTTTGGAGCTACAATGATTAACAGTCTTGCTAACAGTTTTCCACACTCTTGAGAATTGCTCTACATTTACACATCAAGAGTCAAACCTCAACTCTTCATATGCTGTGTCCAATAAACTCTTTTTCATTGTTGCTGTTCTTTTAAAAGTTTGTCTTTTAAGACTGCATGCTTTTCAATTCATTAACATCACCACTGTGTTAATTCAACTATCTTCAGAAGCATTATCTCATATAAATCATTTATTTTGGCAATAAAAGGCACTTCCAAAGGAATACAAGCAATCTGCCACTGTAACAAGCTCTAAATAAACACATGTGGGTGTTAGAGTTGTAGTATTTGGCAAGTGAGTGAAGCAGGAAGACACCCCCCCTCCCCCCATTAACCTCTTTTAATAAGATTTAAGGAGCTACTCACCAATAGAAAAGGAGACCAGAGCATGTGAAAACACAGAGTAGGTTTCTATCAGATCCTCAGCCATCTGTGGATGCCGGAAAAAGCTGAAAACAGAAAAAAATATTTCAGCAAGCTCATTAAAGGATTTCACATGCACACACAAACTGTATATATATATATATATATATATATATATATATATATATATATATATACATACACATATACACACACAAACATACATACATACATACATACACACACATACACAAACACACATATATACACATACATGTATACATACATATATACATACGTACATGCATATATGTACATATATACGTTTATATGTACATAAATATATACATATACATATACACATACACATATATATACATTTTTGTTAAATGGCCTATAAAGAGAGGACTACAAAACAACATATTTTGAACAATGTTTCTTTTTGTCAGATGAAATTCCTGCTGCTCCACGTCAGTTTCTCTAAGTAGAGTAACGGGAATATCTGGAGCAGCAAACCTGATTTAGTGACTAAGATTGAATGCGAGTCGTTATTTTTTTAAATGTATAAAACTGTCTAAATGTACCAAAGTACGGCCCAGATGGCCGTGATGAAGCTGTGCACGAAGGACGTGGAAATGTTTCTCCATTTCCAAGAATTCCTGCAGGCGGACTCCGGGATGTGAAGCCTGTTGATCCCCGCGTTGACCAGCCTGAAGAAGGCCACCGAGCTCCCGGTGGTGACTATCACTGAGCTGAGCTCCATGGCTGAGGACTCGGTACAGATGATGCGCGAGCGGCGGTTCCACAGGCCACGGCAGGAGGGAGAATGGCGTGAAGGCGGCGGCGGCGGATCCACGGACCAGGCAGACGGACGAAGGAGAGAGTTGTTTGAGGACCCGGAGCCACAGAGATCACGTTAACATGCCACTTTTTATTCCAATATCAATTAACTGATCAGTGGGAATATAAAGCAGATTGATGGGATCTCACAATAAGCGTCCAACAGAGAAAGAAAGAGAGGGAAAAAAACGAGGAATGGGTGAAATAAAAATGATTCCCCTCTGGTTGGTAGAGAAGCGCTCCCTGCTCTCAGGTAGAACCAGGAGGTGAGGAGCCTGCTTGACAGTTGTGAAACCGCCCTTTGGAAAAACCTCTCCTCCGCTCAGCTTGTGTAACTTTTTTGACATCAACACAAACCAAACAGCGCCCTCTCCCCGCCCTACTACAAAGGGGCGTGGCTATGGCGAGATTTACGTATTGTGAGGCGTTCGCTTACAGTTGTGGAAAAGGAGAATTCCATCACAAGCTGGACAACATTTAAATGATTCTTGGGTCTGTAAACCTTTATGTCCAAACAGCCATTTTGCTATGAGTCAAGTAAAACTTAACATTATTGCATGTAATTTATTTAAACACAGCCTATTATTTTTGTTAAATGTCTGCCATAGGAAGAGTTTACTTAGTTTTTAGCTTTTAAAATAATCAATCACTTAATTTCCAAGTTAATTAAAAGAAAAATAGCTCTAAAAACATATTTCTGCTGTTTATTATGTAAATCTGTTGTGAAAATGCAATTCCAATATTCATTATAAAAACAACAAAAGCTTCTAAGACTAGTATTTGTTATTATAGTACATTAGTTAGTTCTTAATATCATGTTCAGCCAAGATCCTTCCATCCTATCAGATGGAAGGATCTGATGTCTGATTTACCTGATTAATTTTCTTCTTCTAATATTACTTAATAAAATAATACAATATCAAAAATTCCCCCCAAGAACAAATTGTTGGTTGTATTTATGGCTTATCATACCCACTGCTTCCAAAATCAAGCGAGGGTTACAACAAGCATTCTATGATTAATTCTGCTTTGAAAGTTTATCTTTGTTTTTTTTTTATCCATCTTTAACTACCTTGCATATAAAAATGTAGCACACTTGTGGACTCTTTTTGAAACTTGCAGTATCTTGTAAAGCTTTGTCTTTTGGTTATTATTTTTTATAATATCCATCTTTAACCAGCCAGTAGTGACATAACTATGATTAACTAGCTGATGTTTTAAAGAAAACATAATATAGTGTTCCATCATTTCACAGACAGCATATTTTCTTTAGCGCCTGTATATAACTTCGAATTTTACACATTTTTCGATGTGAAACCATTTATACAAAATCATTGTAACATAAAACTGTCACATTAAATGGTAGGTAAATTAAATGATTGCTACGAAATTAAAGGAATACAATTTGACAATTGATACAACAAAGGTTATAAAAAGACAACAGTGCACAAATCAGACATGATATTTATTGACTTGATATTTTTTAAAATAGGCGTACAAAAAAGGGTCTGACAAGTTAATGTTCACTGCCAAAATTCAGATAGCTATACATAACCGAACTAAAAGATTTTGATTATTTCAAATGAAAAAATCGGTTTATTACAATGTGGGGAAAAAGACAACGTTAAAAACCACCACGTTCAATATAAAGTTGTAAATTACGTGGAGCTTCAAACGCAACTCGCTTCACGAGCTCACACACCAACGTTGATTTATGCGATATAAGCTTTTTGTATGTATGAAAAATAAATCACACAGAACAGAAATAATATCGTGTGCTTATATTAGTATAATTCTTTATTACTGCAACGCATTAAGCTGTGAATAAAGGTTAAAACTGGGGAATTTTCACAGTGAGCGCCCTTTTCATTCAACAAAGCGCCAACCAGCGGAAAATAATTACTGCTGCTATTTCTGGAGATAGTGCGACACCTTCAGGCTAAACAAAGCATAGCACCATAAAAAGGAGTTATTCAACATAATTTTTCCTGCAAGCTCAAATGAAATAAAATATGATTACATCAGTACTCCGTGTATATTATAATAGCCGTAGCGATTTATCTGCCTTAGATTTCAATTCATGTAATGTTTACGAAATACTTTTTTCCCCTAATTATTTAAATACGATAAGCTTAAGTTAATTTAGACCCTATTTACACGGCTAAAATGATGTTACTTTAATGAATAAAATATGGCTGGTTCATCTTGCAAAAAAATAACCATTTTAACCCATTAATAAGACAAACTATTTCTCGACCAAACTATCATTAAACATAAACAGAAAAGGAGATTAGTAGGGAACCACAGTAATTATCTGCTACTTTAATGTTTTCTAGCAGAGTAGATCAGATCTTCGCGCATGCGCGTTACACGCTTTGCAAGACTACTGTACAATGCAGCGTCGGTGCCTGCTGTATCTGCCTGTTTCCCCTCAGCCGCCCATCATATGACAATAGAAAACATTTGGATCAGGAGGAAGGTTTTACTGTAAGAAAGAAACATTTTTGCAGAGTTGATTGTGATTGAGAACAAGTATATATTCAACGGAAAACATTTTCTGATTAATGTACTTCATTGACGCCCATATATTGTCATCATATTTAGTAAATTCTAATTGGATTATATGCATCATATATTCTCCATAATTAAGATTAAATTAAATTTTTTTTTTTTTTTTTTTTTTTACATGTTATAATTAATTTGATCAAAACAGGCGATTTGGAAGTTTTTCCAACTTTATTTCGGAAAAAAAAGATTAAACACCTTGCATCATAGACTGAATCAATTTTATTTTCAACATTTGACAAATGTAATACATTTCCTCAAGGGAAAATGTATACATAAATCAAATTTTTTTAATTTATTTTTGTTGTTCTTTTCGTTTTGTTTTAGTAGCATATATATATATATATATATATATATATATATATATATATATATATATATATATATATATATATATATATATATATATATATATATATATATATATATATATATATATATATATATATATATATATACGTTCTTTATGTTCATTACTCAAAAGCACAATTTATTCCCCGCATATACAAAAACAATATTTAGGGTAAAATGTAGCCTATCAGCCTATCACATCTGAATGATCGAACCATCCTCATGTTAACTTACTCTAATTAATTGATCCCTACAAAGCCTATATATAGATTATCTTTTCTGCTTACATACATGTCATGCACTTTAATATATTTCATATCAAATAAATATCGTGCAGAGTTACCTCAGTGTGTACATTTTTTATCGTTCTTTATGTTCATTAATTGAACCGTTTTATATTTGGCATAAAAAAAAAAGCAATCGAGATTAATTTGTTGCCGTGGAAACGCCCTTTGAAAATCCGCGCCGACCTCTTCCGGTGACGCTGAGTTCGCCGGCGTGTAAATGATGCGGAGCCCATGCCACTTGCGGGAGGAGCTAACGGGTTATGATCTGCTGATATACGCTGAGCGTCATGCGGGCTGTTCCCCTGTTTCTGTGCGGTAACACATTCTATAGGCGAACAGGAAGCCAGTTTGTTGGAGCGGCTGCTGCATCTGTGTCCGCTGACCGGCGAAACAACACAGGTGAGCACAGCCAGCACCATGGCTGCCCTGATTTCTATTTCAAAACACTAATTTGATATTATTTTATCAACTCTTGTAATGTGATAATAATATTTGTTATACGTGTGTATCAGAAACCCTTTCATTTATGAAGACTCAAGATTGTTGGTTAGACTTTATCTTAGTCATCTCACATTAGTGACAATGTGTTAGTTAGATTCTGGTTTAATTTTATGGGTAGTTCTTAAATTATTAGAGTCTGGCACTCTTTTATTAATTAATATAAACAGATGCTTCAAATCAAATAGACTGAATAAGGAGAATGTGCAGCAGAGGTATAAAATGATTAGAGGATAAACAGGGCATAAAGAGTGACACATTTCAACAGCTTTTATTTGTGAAATTCAAAAGAGAAACAATAAACATTACTCTTTGGTTGTGTATGCAGGTAAATGGGAATTAACTGAAACAAACTTGTCTTGCATGTAATATATGCCATGTCATAGTGTATAAAGGTCCCCCATAGATCAACTGTCACTGTAGCAAATGCTGGGACAATAGCATGTTTGCTTATTCATTTACAGGACTGAACATGTTCCATAGAGATTCTATAGGCTTCTGTAAGATCGATAATCATATGTAACTGCTGTAACAATCGGGATTTTTTTTTCTTTTTTCGCCTATTGACATGCAGGAATAAATATGCACCAAGGAGTAGGGCAAAGGGAAGAGCAGGAGGAGGTGACCGGACTGGTTTGTCAGGAGACTGATCTCCATGATGGACAGTGAGTAACATCATGCAACCTTTAAATGAAGGAAAAAAGATCAGATTCTAGAGGGAATAACAGAGTCTCAGCTGACTTGTTTTGCCAATTTTGTGTGTTTTTGTTTTTTTGCAGAATGAAGGAGGTAACCGTGGAGGACCAGAAGGTGCTGTTGGTCCGTACCAAGGGTCAGTACAGTGCAGTTGGGAGCAGGTGCTCCCATTATAATGCCCCTCTCATTAAAGGTAAAAACAATAATTTCCAGATTGTTCCCATTCTTAATCCAAACGCATCTATCAGTGCTAAATACTGATTATTAAATTCATAGGAACACTGGTTGGAGAGAGGGTGAGGTGTCCTTTTCATGGAGCCTGCTTCAATGTGAGAACTGGAGACATCGAAGAGTATCCAGGCCTGGACTCTTTACCAACCTACAAGGTAGAACAGTTCAAAGCAGCAAAATTAATGCCAAGTAAATGTCAGCTATAAAGCCCCACACTACAAACATTTTTAGAATTTTTTTTTCTCAAAATGAGTGCATTTCTTTCTGAATTGAAGAGGTAAGTAAGACAGTTTACCAATTGAACAAGACAATTTACATTTAAAATAAGAAAAAACAATTTAATGCTCTTATTTTAAGTGTGCGTTATCTAATTATCTTATTTTAAGGGTAAAAAAACTAATTCCATTGGCAAATCATCTTATTTGCCTACTCAAATTAAGGGGAAATACACTAAATTTAAGAAACGTTAAATTATTTCTAGATCGTTTTTGCAGTACTTTCAGGATAGATATCAGAAAGTTATTTAAAGCAAGAGAAGAAAAAGCAATAAAACGAAGAATTGACCACAAGTTATGAAGAAATTGGCTCAGATTTGCAGCACAGAGGGAGAACGTTGTAGACGACTAGTGTAACAAATTCTCTGTCTCTAATTTTTCCGCATTGTTTGTAACTATCAGCAGACCCTCATCACATGACCTAAAGGAGTTACAAAGATGTATGGATAAACTTTTTTTCAATGCCCTGCAGGGAAACGTTTTTGCTCACAGATTTCCTGCTTTTGCTGTTTTGTCACCATTAAATATTAGCTTAAATAATACAAAAAGCAGCTGATAAGGATGAGATAATTTCTTTAGGTGAATCTATCTGAACCAACTTTTCTCACTTCAGTACGTAAATAAAATTACATTTCCCTCTATACCTGATGTGTTCCATGTTTTAGCCTTTAGAATGGATCAACAGGATGTTTTTTGGTAGTTGTGAGATTTCTTCTCCTAACTGAAGGAACTTAACTGAGAAATGAGGCTACGGGGCTTTAGATATTCTGTGAAACATTGCTTAGCTTTTTGAGTAAATTGGTGTGACATCCGCTCCTCAGAGGCTTTAACATTGTCCCACGTTGTCTCCAGTTGTAAATTATGGATCACTGTGGTTTGCTGGAGTCCCAAACACCCCAGTTAGGTTTTTTTAACCCCTTGTAGACTTGCTGAGATCGTTTCTTGGATTTCCTGCAATCAGGAAATGATGAGTTCATTTTTTTTTAACACTTATTAATTTTCTATCATTTTTTACCCATATCGGCAAATTGGTTTGAATAATTCCTCTCTTCATGAATTAGTTCATAATTTGAAAAATAGTTTTTCATACTTGATAAGGTTTAACGCTAACTGATTTTTAAAATTGGTTTGACTGTCTTAAACATTTAAATGTGTCTAAAAAAAAACAACATTCATGGCAGTAAAAATAAAGAATAGGATACAATTGGAACATATATCCACTGGTGTTTCATCCCTCATTTAAAACTGGATGTTTTGGATTGGAAGCAAATCACAGAAATGCATAAAAGATTTTATAAAAGAGTCAATTTCTTTAGAAATACTCCAACAGTTTGCTAAAAAGCTACCGTTTCCGTTAGCTGCCTTATTTTGAGCAGCTTTTAACATAAATAGTTTATTTTTTATCTGACAGGTCAACGTCAAAGATGGGAATGTTTACGTGTCTATTAATAAGAAGGTAAGCCATAAAAGTTCTAAGTATGTCCAATTTAAAAGACATCTATTAATTTATTGTTGAATTATTTGTCATTTGCTACTTTTAGTCCTTGAAGTTGACCAAACGGGTGAGGGAGATGTGCACGGTCCAATCTGATGTCAAACACACCATCCTGTTGGTAGGAGGAGGTACGTGTCTGGTAGTAGCTCCTTTTACCTTGCAAAAACCATCGAGAAATAAGTTGAATCAAGTGTATTTATTATTAATTTGAACAGGTAAAAATGATGTTTTGCCAATGAAAGAAGTATTTTACTCTTAAAATAAGTATTTAGAATATATGCGCATGAAATAAGGCAACTCAATCTTTTTTTTTTATTTTAAATGTTAATCGACTCATTCCAAAATGTCTCACTTATTGCACTTATTTTAACAGAAAAATGACTTTTTTAGATTTTATTCTTTTCTTGCAGTGTTGGTCCTAAATTAGCAGCAAATATGAAAAAAAATTAAAAATCTTAGAGTGCATCATATCTTGTGTTCCTTTTATCATATTTTAAAATTAAATTTCAGGCCCTGCGTCGCTTGTTTGTGCCGAGACTCTTCGTCAGAACTGCTACCAGGGTCGCATCGTCATCATAACCAAAGACAGCCTGCCTCCGTTTGACAAACCCAAACTGAGCAAAGTGAGATCAAAATAGGAGAAATACCCTTTAAAATCTGTTTCAATCAAAAGTCACCTTCACTTTAAAGCCGTTGGAAACAAATTTAGCTGTTTTCATTGTCTTCAAGGCTATGAATGTGGAGAGCAGCAATATCCTCCTGCGGCAAGATGACTTCTATCAGCAATATGGAATAGAAATGTGGATCGGGAAAGAGGTGAGGGTGTGTATATATGACTTGCTGTCATTTAACAGTAGATTCAACCGCTTCTTTCTCTGTTAAAGGTCGTCTCTGTGAATCCGACTAAGAAATCAGTGATGATGAGTAATGGCAGCTCGGTGCTTTACGATCAACTCCTCATCTCAACAGGCTGCAGGTGAGTCTCTGCATCCTCAAAGAAAAAAAACTCTCTGTTTCCATAGAAAAATGCTAAATAAACCCAACTATAAATTGCTTATTTCATATCGACAGAGCTCGCTCTCTCAGCTGTCCTGGATCAGATTTAAAGGGAGTGCATCTGCTGCAGTGCTATGACAACGCTAAAGAGATTCACGCTTCGTCGGTCGGCAAGAGAGCTGTTGTAATTGGAGCATCCTTCATAGGTAATTATTCAGAGCTTGAAAGCTAGTTTCTTCTCCCATGTGTTAGCAGTTTTTTTTACACCGGAAATATGCAGACGACCGGATTGTTTTTCAATTGGTCAACAGGTATGGAGGCAGCTTCGTACCTGTCGGACAAAGCTGCGAGCGTGGCCCTGGTGGGCCCCACCGAGTTCCCGTTTGAGAAATCTCTAGGGCCAGAGATCGGCAAGATGACCAAGAAGGTAAAGAGGAGCACAAAACTCATTCTCCATGCTTGGATTAAAAAAAAGAAAAAAAAAACTTATCAGCTTTAGTTTTATTGTTGTCTTTTTCCCTTTAAGATGTTGGAGGAAGCCAATGTAAAGTTCTTCATGAACAACAAAGTAAAAGAGATCAGAGGGGAGAACGGAAAGGTAACTTTGCCTTTACTTCCTGTTCTTTCACAGCTATTGACTCCCTTAGTAAAGATGTTTTAAAAACTAATCTGACTACATTAATTCAAAGAAATAGATGGGAAATATTTATTTTTTAATTCTTACAACAGTGACTTTTACTTCAAAATGTGTGTAATCCATGAACTCCTGCTGTCCTTGGTAAATATCACATTGAAACTGATATTGAATTGGTCTCTCTTCAAAATAATGAATTCAAGATAATTGATATGTGTAGATCTTTGTTAGTCAAGAGAATACATCTATAAAACCCTCCTGCTGACTGAAACTTGCTCATATCTACAGTAGAAAAAATAGAACTCATCAAACAAGTGAAAGTCAAAAGGTCTTCTAAGAGACAATAGGCTCAAATCGTGGCAGTCAATAATGCTACTTCTGCTGGCAGCTCCAGTTGCCACCAAAAATGCTTTTATTACACTATATTCTGTGACTGATCATATAACACTCTTAAAAAAAAAAGAAGATCCTGCTCTAGGTTCTGCCCACAAAATTTTAAACTCAAATATAAACATGTCAATATGTGTAGATCTTTATATAGGAACCATTGAACTGCAGCAGGTATGGAAAGACAAAAGCGTCACAAAGGAAATTCATTATAAAGGGGCATTATTTCAGTTGGTTCAAAACATTGTAGTTGAGATAAATGCATTAAACTATTGCAGCTTTATTCTAAATAAATTAATAAGTGAATTGTTGTTGTTTAAATATTGATAATTTGGGCGTGCTTTGGTGAAGCAGTGGTTTGTGCGCACGGCCCATATATATACGGAGGCCTAAGTCCTCGCTGCCTTTGGTCCTTTGCCACGCGTCTCTCCCCCTCTCTCTCTTATTCTCTTTCCTGTCAGGCTACTGTACAAAAAAAAAACGAGCCACTAGTGCTGTAAAAACTCAAGAAAAAAAAATTATACTTTTTAATTACATATTTTAATCTCTCTGCAATTTCCTTAAGACATCGATCACTTTTATTGCTGTCTTACAAATCAAAAATCCTTCTTGATACAAGAAAATCTGTCATATTGATTTAACTTTGGAAAATGATCTATACATTTTTGTACATTTATGATTTGATCAAATACTTGATTAAAGAGGCGAAGAGAAGGCTTTAGTAATGAGTGTTAAATTGAGTAAGTTACATTAGTTTAACTCTGAATCTTCAACATCTCTTTAGTTTTATGGGTCTTTTAGATTCATTGAAGAATAAACTTTGATCAGGCTTCACATTTTATCGTGACAAGAATTTTTGGTCTTGACCTGGTCCCGGGTTAGATGGTCTTGACCACGACACTGCTTCCAGCAATCATTGACTTCCGGTTTCTGTGAGGTATAAGTATTATATGATGCAATTTAGGAGTCAGTTTCTACTATTTCTACTTCAAAAGAGAAAACAAGGGAGGGGTCTGTCGTGGGAAAAAGTATTCAACTATTCATCCTAGTTAAATAAATAGAGATCGATGGATTTCACTCAGTCGGCACATTTTTTCATATCTTTGCAAAGAGAGAACAGTCATCGTACAGCCCTAATGGCACAGCATTCTGCTTTGTTCTGATCTGGACAGCTTTCGTTCCCCCTTTCTTACAACAATGGAAAGTAGTCAGAGTCATTACAAATTGCACACACTTTGGTTAAACAGCAACATGTTATGAATAAACCTTGAGAAAGAATCTGATTTGTTATGGGAAGAAGCTATGTCTGGTCTACAAACACCATCCTGCAGGGAACTGTGTGGCCTTGAGAGAAAAACAGACTCAGTGAAAACTTTTATAGTGAGTAAATAGGATAAATTAAAATATTATATGAGAAGAGAGATAAAAAATTTCCGACAACAGGTCATTCAGGTTAGACAAAAAACAGCTGTGGGAGAGAATCATCTCCTCTCAGCTTACAACCAGACAAAAAATAAAACATGTTAAAGGAAGGGGAGTAGTAGGAGTAATTAAGATCCCAATCAACTTTATCGTCCAAATATGATCCACAAACAAGACATTTGAGTCAGATTGTTAAAAAAAAAGTGCATATTTGAAAAACTTTATAGCCAAAAACATATAAGCAGCAGTACGTGTGTGTGCGCTTACAGTTCAATAGCAGTTGTTGTGGTCTATTTGTTTTTTCAAGATAGTTAAAGATTAGCTTCATACACAGTGTATTAGAATACAATAGAGCAGCAGTGCTGCTGAAGGGATAACCTGAAAGATTTATGAGAACAGGTTTATGTCCAAAACAATAGATGGCATTCATCTACCCAGACCTACAACGACAAGGGAACTGCATCAAAACAGAACCACCAGCCAACACTTCAGTCTACTATTAAGATGCATGATGCATGATCCTGGACTCAACCAAAGCTTGTTTTTGAGAGTGATAAGGTTGGCAGTCTTTAATGGTTAATAACTCCCCTAAAACAATGGCGAGCATAATTAATCAATCACTGGCACTAAGAGAAGAAGGCTGAAGGTCAAACTGAGATACGCGCCGCATTAACCCAGCCATAAATGTAACGTTAGTGCTTGTAATGGCAGTCTAAAAGTTTTGCTTCTTTACTGGATTCAGGTCCAGCTGGCAACCAGATCTCCACTCTGTGATTTTTTGATTTTTATTTAAAGATGCTTTTGAAATTAACCTAATAAAAGTAAAGAGTAAAAACACTCAGACCTAATGACAATTTAGAGAAGCTAATTAACCTAACAGACATGTTTTGGGGCTGTGGGAGGAAGCAAGAATACCTGGAGAGAAGCCATGCATGCATGGGGAGAACATGCATCCTTCTTGCTGCAAGGCAACAGTGCTACCCACTGCTCCACCATGCAGCCCTGTTACCAAGAATGTTAAATATTTTATGTACTGTTACACCCCAGTGTCGCAAATACTTCCAGTATGGGAACCAATGACTGTGGATGGCTTTGCACTGAGCAACATTCAAATATCTGAACACAGAGAAAAGATACTTGGTTTTTAAATGGAAAGTGTTCTTTTGTCCCTTTATGTAGGTGAAGGAGGTGGTGCTGAATGACGGTACTGTCCTGGAAGCTGATGTGGTGATAGCAGGAATAGGTAATTTGTTTATTGTGTTGCCTAACCCAAGGGTGATAAATATGTTAAAGGTATTTATTTACAAAGGGAAGGGCAATAAAGCTGCACACTGATTTATTATTTGGAACCAAACGGCAATTACCAACATTTGAAGGAACATATGAAAGCAAGTTTTTGCATTAAGTTCAGTTAGATAAACGTGACCTCAAACGAAAGGAAATGTTGGATTATTACTTTATGGTTTATAGATCTGGCCCATTTTCTGTGATTCTTGGCAAATATGTTGATGTTAACAATCTTTATTATGAGGGCAAACTAAAGAGTCCTGCAAAATAAAATATTTTTTGAAAAGCAAAAATACTGCCTAGAAAAAGAGAGATGTTAGCTCATCTATTTTTATATTTTTTTAAAAGCACAATTCAATTCAGTTTTTTAAGAAAAAACACTAAAATTTTCTTACGTGACGTTAAGTACATCTCTTCCGTTTAACCAAACTTTTTAGTTCTTGATCGTTAATCAGATCCTTTCATGAAGAGACACTTGCAGCTCCAGAACCACTGGTTCCTTTCATGTTAACCCCATGAAAAATGTTTCTCTTCAGCAAATGTTGATTGCTTTTTCTCTCTTTGTTTTTCAGGTGTTGTTCCTAATACAGACTTCCTAGAAGGAAGTGACGTGGCAGTGGATTCGAGAAAAGCAGTTATTGTGGATAAGGTAAAGCAAAGCGTAGCATCTGACAAACTTTAAGATGTTCATTGAAAAAAATTGAAAAAATACATAGGAAAAAGAAAAGCTCTCCTAAATCCAACTCCAAAACACTGACTCTTATAGCTTATGTATAGAGGAACTGTTACGAGATTCAATTAAGAAAACCCAAAAGCAAAGTTATACTTAAATGTATAGTGGAGGATTTTCAAATTTTTTTTAAAAAGACCTGCCATTTAAAAAAAATAAATAAAAAATGCACATGCGCAACCCAAGAGGGAACACCTATTAAACGCGTATGAGGGCGTGCATGAGCCCATTTCTCCTTGTGCACGCTCAGTTTAAAAGTTGCTGTTTGCATCGCTCATACAAGCTTACTTTCCAAAAGAAGATTTGCATTTTTTCCAGTACGTCAGACTCACCACCGATAAGTGAAGACAGAGACGAACATGTAGGATGATTTTTAATTAGAAGGACCATTTATTTTGATGATCCACGAGGAAAAAGAACATCATCCACCATTCCTTTAACGTAATCTAACATTATAAAAGTAGGAAAAAATTTGAAAAAGTCATTTCTGTCAAGTAGTACATTGACAGGATGGTAAATATCAATTGTTCCTGATTCAAGTGTATTGCAGAGGGCTAGCTGTAAGCTGAAGATTTGAAACAAAGTCAGATAGAAAGTCGGGTTCATTGTGTCAAACCAGAACCATCAATTTTCTCAATTCTGAGACAAGACACGATGTTTGAAAGGCGGGGCCAAAACAGCTGCTCCCGAATCACAGGGAAAACCTTGGGGTTCAAGAGTTATGATAGAGTGATGTCTACAGTTTATGCTTTTCAGCGTTTCTACCTGACATGAAAGCAGCGCAGCTCTCTATTATGAGTGTTCTGAGGTAGTGAAGGTGAGACATTAGCTTTGGACTCATTAGCTGTTCCATCTATTCTCCCAGTTCATGAGGACCAATGTACCAGACATTTTCAGTGCCGGGGACGTCACCTCCTTCCCTCTGACCATTCGCAGAGACCAGTCGGTCAATATCGCTCACTGGCAGATGGCCCACGCTCACGGTTAGAAACTTCCTGATTAAACAACAAAAAAGAAATGGTTTTTCTTTAATTTTTTAAAACATTTTTATCTTTAACACCTGTTTTTAATATCAGGAAGAGTAGCAGCTCTGAACATGCTGAATAAACCAACCACAATAGAGTCCATTCCTTTCTTCTGGTCTGTGTTGGGTGGAAAGAGCATCAGATACGCAGGTAAAGTATTCAATAAAAGGTTTTTAAAGTTATAGTTATGTGAATTTTTAAATGTTTTTACTGACGCGGCTTTTTCAAAAGTGCATACTTTTGTTAGATTCAGTCTCCCTTCCTCTTTCATTTCCTCTCTAGGTTACGGAGAAGGCTACACAGAGATCATATTTAAAGGCAAAGTGGAAGAACGGAAATTTCTGGCCTTCTACATAAAGTGAGCGGTTGTGGAGTGACTTTTTAAACTGCTGGGATCAAATCTGCTGCGGTCCTGCTTCAGTTTCTCCTGTGTGTTGCTGACAGGGACGAGGTGGTGGTAGCGGCTTCTAGCCTGATGTTTGATCCCGCTGTGGCTCATGTTGCAGAGCTGATGGCTAAAGGCACAGTCATAACAAAGGCACAGGCTCAGTGAGTCATGGTTTGCTTCTATACAAACTGCAACAATTAGCAACAACCATAACAATTCATTCAGCAAGAAAAAAAAACAAGGTATCATTTTCACTTACCTTACAGTTAAAGTTGACAAAGGTGTCTTTTAACTACTAATTACTGAACTAGACAAATAGGGAATTAGGGAGGATCTTATTAAAACAATCTTATTTAGATCTGGATTTAAACTTTAAAATGTTTGAAAGAAAATTAATATTTTTTTTAAATTCAAACGCTTTTAATCATAGTTATGAAATGTTATGACATCCTATTCTTTGTCCTACTTAGTTTATTATTGCGATAGGACAACAAATTCTCATTATAATATTTTATGCTTTTAGTGTTCTTTTAATAATATCTTTTTGCCTTCCTTACCTGACAATTTTGGCTGTTGTGACCAAAGATTTGGACACAGCAAACCTAAAGAGTAAAAGTTTAAGAAAAAATGAAGCAAATATTTCTTAAGTCAGGAGAAAACTGATGAAAGATGTAGCTTTAAAAGCAACAACAGACTATTTCTGAAAGCTTTCAAATGTGTGAAAATAAAAAAATAAAAAGAATCAAGAAATGAATTATGTTTTAATGTGTAATAACCATCTTGCTGATCATTGCAGATCTGAAGACCTGAGCTGGCTGCAGATGTAACCGGGATCCATCAGGAGTAGAAAGAAGTCGTCCCATTCAGTGCCTACCTCCATCGATACATTCATTGCCTCACATACTGCAGCAAACTCATTTGACTGCCCTTCTTTTCTTACTTAATGGTGCTGTTGCCATAGCAGCAAATACAGCTTTACTACAAATTATTTAATTTCCCTGTAACCATTATACTGGAGCGAGTGTTTGTTTTCACTGCTAAACTGTACAATGTTTCTGCTGCACTCATTATAGGCTCATTGAGGGGCTTTCATTGTGATCCTAATTTAATCAACATTTGTTTAAATAGAGTAATGGGGTAGCAGAAGGAAAAGGATAGCGCTGTCTGTTTTGTTTTTCTGTTAATTGTTTGGTGTTGGTTATCTTAAAAGTAAAACAAATGTCGTAAAACGTATTTATTTTGAGTGCTGTATGTTATGGCAACTGAAAGCATATTGGCGATTCAAGTTTTTGAATTATTATGTTCTGTAAGTGTGTCTCCAGTAAATATTTTATGTCTTTCTGTCTTTAAAATACAGCATCCTACAGTTATTTTTTTTTCCGGAGACCCTTTCAACTGTTGTTCATATAGCAGACTTATTCTGTGCACCAATTCCTTCATTTTTGAGCAGCATAAGCCAGAAGTTTGCCTATTGTATGCAGGCCAGCTGACAGCCTCGGCTTGGCGCAGAAAAAATTTATAGGGTTTAGGCCCTATCATATTTTTGATTAAGTATTTGTTAAAGTCAAGCCTAAAAATACACATTTTTAAGTACACTTTTCTGGTAAGAAGATAAACGTTGATTTGTCAAGATAGTAAAGAAAATGAAGATGACAATACAGTAAAAACAAGCATTTAATGGCTAATAACTTAAAATGTAGAAATATTTATAAATTGGGGGAAAAAATTATTTAATAAATACATAAGTAAAATTTTCACATTTAAAAATAGAAACCTTAACACTTTTTAAAGTGTGAAATATGTGGAACTTTTTGCTTTCCATACATGCTGCATTCACAGTTTATCTTTTTTATAGACTTCTTGTGTGACATGTTTAGATTTGAGCACCAAAGGTTATGGTCAAAATCTCTCCTAAGCAGTATATGCAGAGTAGCAGGATTGTCTATTTATTACATGTGAGAGTCATACAAGTCGCATTATCATTGTAATGTTTTCCAATTGTTTTATGAAAAACAAAAGCTTTTCCAATCATAGGTACAAAACTATAAGGGCCGGATCTTAAAGGCTGCAGCTAAAGATTACTCTACTTATCGATTAATCTATCACTTATATTTTTTCTGACTAATAATCCGATAGCAAACTGTGCTTAATAGAAGATATTTTTACAGAATTTGATCCAGTTAAAGCTGAAACTTTGACAGCTAAAGAGTCCTAGATGGAGCAGATTTGCTGACAAAGGTCTTTCATCCTAAATGCAAATTGTCTTTTTTAGCAGATGGCATATTTTAGATTTAGTATATCCAACCTCTCAGTTAACTTCTATTTTAATTATTGACCATTAAAACTTTATTACGATGTACTTTAAGTGGTCAGCATTTCTGGAAATGTAGCGTATAAATTCAGTCTATCTACCATTTAAAGGCATCTTAACTAGTTGCAAAAAATTACATATTTTGCACTATAACTGAGCTTGAATCTTTTGACTGCTCTGCTCGGCAGCATTGGTAGAGTTAATTTATAATTTGTATTCCACGAGCAAGACCTTTGCCCAATTGTCACTGAACCTAAAGTCAGGGCCACTCCTTAAGCTTAATGGAACCTGCTTTATACGCAAAGAAATTGCAGATCTATGTTTTGGATGTTTGTTTTTTTTGGAAAATCCAAATATGTCCACATTTCAGCCATATGACCCAAACAGCCCCCCAGAGATGAGGGGAAATTGCATAGTATGTTGTTCAATAGGCTGCAGGTTTTACTCTAAAGGGAGGTTAGTATCAATGGACTGAGATTAGCTGTCCGAGAAATAGTATGTCTCGAGGAGCCAAGGTGACAATACCAAACCTAAGAACAGCTAACGTTGTCAAGTATGTTGCTGGCAGCATCATGCTGTGGGTCTTTCTCTCCAACAGTTGTATTCATACATCGAAAAAAGGAAAAATAGGAAACGTTTAATAAGGACATAGTTGTTTTTAGTTGAATAATCCAAAATTAAAAACAGGTTGAATGGACAGTCGGCTGATATTAGGCCTGTTGTTTGAGCCATGCTGAACCCTAAACAGAAGAATATCCACGTTTTTACCAGAAAACCAATCAATGTAAAAATAAAATACCAATTTATATTTGAAGAGAGTTCAGCCGTTCTGCTAGATATCTATAAAAAGCTTGTTGAAAGCTGCTAAACATAATTCCACTTCAACTCCAAATGCTACAAATCCATATAAATATTTCAGCCTGTATAAATATTAATCTGACACATGTGGATTAAAGAACATCTGTAATGAATTCCAACCAGACATTACAGTCATGCTCATGGTGAATATTTGAAAAAGTATTTAAAATAAATAAAACTAAAACACTTCAATATTCCTTTAAGTATTAAGATGTCTTTATTTTTTCTTCAAAGCTGTTAGATGTGGTATTTTCTCAGCTGTAGCATGCTGATTAATTAGGATTACAAAGTCTATTACACTGTTATACATGTAATCATTTCTTTTAGATCTTAGAAGTGTTAAGATGTTCCGCACAGTTAGCATATTTCACGTTCTTCACAGACATCACTAGACTTAAATCACATTGCAGTATGAAATAAACACTATTAAAAAGAGAAATTAAATGTGTTTTGTAATTCCTTTGAAGTTGCTTCTTCCTGTTTAGTTTATTTGGAAGTTTTAGAGCACTGTTTCACAGAGGACCCCGTCTGTCAGCAAGCAGGAATGGGTTGAGGTGGCAGTACTGCAAAGAATAATCAAAAACTGGTCACATTATGATCAGAACCTAAACAGCCAAAATGTGGAAATACTACTTCAATTATGAAAATGAAATAGAAAAAAAAAATGTCAGACTTTGTTTTTTTTTGTTTTTTGACTCATTTAAATGTTTGAAGGAAAAAAAAATAACTTGCAGAAAATGGTTTAAACAAAGGGTTAAAAATATAATGGATTCAATCCTCTCTGGCCCTATCATAATAAATTGCTGCTGTTAAATAAAGAATTAACTGCTATAAATCACATTGTTTGTAAAGCTGAGTTCCTAATTTACATCTTAACCAGCAAAGGCACTCAAATAGGACCAGTCTGACAACATGAAGTAGGTGAAAAGATTTCAAAGATTAACATCATCAAAGCCAAAACTAAAAAGAATTCAAGAACAGATAGGAAACAATGACACTAACGTCTACAAATCTGGGAAAGGTAACCAAGATGGTTCCAGCAAAACAAATAGAGCCTCCGTTTACAAACGGAGAAGCCTATCTACGGTGGTAAACCAAGAGTGGTCGCTCTACAGAAGTACCTAAGAGCATTTCGACTCATCCAGGAGGTTGTAAATATTTTTTTTAGGATTTCTTGAAATGAAGTGCACCTGTATTACAATGATTACAGCAGCAAGAATGTTTAAAAAATGAAGAAGGTTCTGGAGGGGTCCATTAAAGCCAGACAAGGACCCAACGGGCCAGTGAGTCCACCTCTGCACGATAAAGAGTACAAAGTGGAGTTTATGGACTTAAATCATCCAACTGAGATGCTCCAACATCAAATGCAATAAGCCATTGGGGAAAAATATATCTAAGGATATATCTAACAAAGAAGTAACAAAGAAGAGTAGAACAAACAGCTAACACAGTGCTGCGGATTTAATCATCGAACTGATAATTACATGATAATTACACAATGCATTGAAACAAAAGGTGTAAAACATAGATGTAGATAAAAAGAACTGAACCAAAACTATAAGCAACCTGTGGCGTGGAGTCAGAATCAGGCTGCTCTTTATCCAACATCCTGACTGTAAAGTCTGAGGAGAATCTGGAAATCTGGAGGATGGCTGCCATTTCTGCATCTACCTCCACTTCCACATCTTTCTGCACCAAAGACAAACAAAAAAATGTTGTTGTTGTTAAATATCCTGTTAATAAACATCCCTGAGCAAATATTGATAAAACAAATTGGTCTCACTCACCTTGAAAGAGTGCGTTGAGTCAAAATCTAGCTGATCTGGAAAGTCAGGAACGGTTCCCTTGTAAATAACAACAGCACCTGACGTTCTTGGTTGTCGGGGCAACTTAAAGAGCCTGTATGTGCCTGATGCATACCTGATGTCACCTGGAAAACATAGAGCTTATAGGACTTAAACCTTAAATATCTCTTTGCCTTGAGTCACTTTTTACTACCTGCTTTTGCTTTGAGCTCCATGTTGTGGACCTCAATATGGCTTGCTGTAACCAGAAGTGGAGTACTGAATCCCACACTTTGGGCCAGCAGGATCAGATCTTTCCAGAACAAACAGCCGCTCATTCCCTCACCTGCAACAGTGAGTAAAAGTGGAGTTTTGCACAGGAGGGTTCCCTATGGTTCCACTAAAGGGTTCACATGTTACCCCAGAGGCCTGGATCCTGCTTCATGTGATCTGGAACGACACTGCTGGCATACATGTCACTGAAGTACAGCTCTCCTCCATCCTGTTTTACAATGAGGAAGAGTTAAACCGTCGTGAGGTTACACACATCAATGAGGTAACGCCTGAAACTAACCTTCAGAACATTGTAGGCTTGTTCGAGCACTGATCTCTTATCCGGGCAAAGACAGATCACACAGTTTGAGCTGAAAAAGAAAGATTACTCTCATTTATTGACCAAAATCATTGGATTCAGCTAAATGATCACAACTAGAGCTCTTAACCAACATCAGAACATCCATGGAGTCTCTCTGTATCCCTGCTTCGCAGAGCTTCTCCATGTATCCCTGGATAAAAGTGACATTGGGCTCTTCGTAGCCAAACTTCCCCCTATGATACTCGACAAACTGGCGGGAAGCCGTGATCTAGGAAAGCGTTACCTGGTCAGCAACATGTACAAGTGTAGGTATGAACTTTATTGTACTCTGCTCTGTGTGTATCTTACCAGCTGATCCGTCATATCGATGCCCGTCACGTGTCCACTGGGTCCAACGAGTTTACTGAAGGCAAAACAGTCTCGTCCTGATCCACTACCCAGGTCCAAGACCCTGCAGCCCTCTAGCTTGGCTGGAAATGGAAGGCCGCATCCGAAGAATCTGCAATGAGGAATCATGGCAATACAAGGGGACATATCCTTTAAACCTTTCCAAAAGAAAAAAATAATCCTTCATGACTGCAAGCTAATTTGTATTTTGGATATTAAATAAACCAATAGAGGTAGTGCATTAACATGAAGTGGAATTAAACTTTTTATGCAAATAAAAAAAAAAAACATACTGTTGTGTGTCATCAGTTTTTCTGAGTTAATATTTTTTATAGAAATGTTGCAAGTTTTAGAATAGAATAGAAAATCCCTTCGTCAGCCAGACTGGATGGAGAGCATCTATAAACTCTATTTTTAGGTTGATGCAACAGATTCTCTGGAGTCTCCCACCTGAGCGGTGAGTCTTTGAAGTTCCTTCAGAGTTACCATGGGTTTCTTAGATAATTTCCTGATTCAGACTCACCTTACCCATCCTTTTAGTTTATAGCAAGGCAAAATAAGTTTATTTGTATAACACAATTTAGTACAAGGATAATTCAGAATGCTTTACATTAAACCAGTATAGAAGAAAAAATAAAAGCAGAGTAAAAGCAAGATAAATGTATGATAAATGTATGATAAAAGCAGGTAGTAAAACAAACTTCAACAATCAATTTTTTTTTTACTTTGACTTAAAAGAACTCAGACTTTCACCACTTTTACAGCCTTCTGGGAGTTTGTTCCAGGTAAGTGGAGCATAGGAACTAAATGGTTTTAATTGGTTCTAGTTGTAGGTGTACAGAGTAGACCATGAGTGGTCTTTGAAGTTGATACACGGACAACAAATCTGTTATGTACTGAGGTGCTGATCCATTCGGTTTACAGACTAACAGAAGGGTTTTTGAGTTTATTCTCTGAGCTACAGGGAGACAGTATATGGACTTCAGAACAATGGTGATGATACATTTGATCACTGCTGTTTGCATTTGATCACTGCTGCACTATATGAAATTAAAATGTTCACTGCTAAGCTGCTGCTCATTCACTGTCTGAAAGCTGCACAAAATGACAATAAAGGTTATCTAAGTCTGAGTCTAATTGATGTGCTCTACTTTCTTAGTTCTAGTAAGAACGTGGGCATCAGTATTTTGGATCAGCTGCAGCTATCTGATTGACTTTTTAGGCAAACCTGTGAAGACACTGTTGCAGTAATAAATTATACTAAAAATAAATGCATAAATGAGTTTTTCTAGATCCTGCTTGGACATTAATTATTTAATCCTGAAAATGTTCTTCATATGATAAAAGCCTAACTTAGTAACTGCCTTTATGTGCCTGTGAAGGTTCAGGTCTGAGTCCATCATGACACCAGGAGTTCTGCCATAATCACTGGTTTCTAGTTGTAGTAGCTGAAGCTGGGAGCTAACTCTGGATCTCACCTCCTTTGGTCTGCACATTATTACCTCAGTTTTGATTTTATCAGTTGGAGAAAATTATGGTGCATCTGCATATTGATCTGTTCTATGCATCTACCAACGTTCTGATCTATTCATAGTCACCTGGTGACATTGTGATGTAAAACTGTATCACCTGCATAGTTATGGTAACTGGTCTTGTTTTTTTCTGTAATCTGAGACAAGGGGAGAATGTACATGTTGAATAATTTTTTTTTCCCGGTCTTTGGCTTAAAGTACAGACACATAAAAGTCCCTGTCCTTCAGGTAGTATTTAAACCAGTCCAGTGCGGTACTAGAAAGGCTGACCAAGTTTTCCAGAAGCTCTAAAAAAAATCATTTGGTTGGCACTGGAAGACATCAAAGCAACTGGTGATTTTTAAGAAGGCCTTTAACTGTTGAAACCCAACTTTTTAAGTAATTTTACTGCTGAAGGGGAGATTCGAGATGGGTCTGTAGTTCATTTTTCCAAATTTCTCTTTTTCAACAATGGTTTAATAACTAAGGAGATAAAAATATCGGTACTTGTCAGCAAGTTTGCCACTGTGCCATACTTATTCTTAGATAATGGCTTGAACACTTTTCAGTAAGATGTTGTAGTATAAAATAATTAAATGCAATCTGCTCTACAAAGTAAAGTGCTTTACTTTACTTTACAAATATCCCAGGCTTTGCTTTTTTGCTTTGGTTTACAGGAAAAAAACAAAACAACAATCAATCAAACTTTGTGTTTTTAACATGAAAAGGATGCACAGATTAAACATATAATATCACGGTGTGTTATACTATATTGATAGAAAGCCTCCTGTATGTAAAGTGCACGTACTGTTAAACATTCCACATTCCAATCATAATCAACCTGAAGGCTTAGACCAATGCAGAATATTCATGTAAAAAAACAAACAAAACAAAAAAAAATATTTATTTGCAATCTTCAAGCATCATTCTGGTCTTTTTTTTAAATCACAGTTATGATTAAAGCAGGGCTACCTCTGGATTACTTCAGGGTGAATCAGACTTAAGGCCTCTTTTACACTCTTAGGCAGCAGGTTGAGGGGCAAAGCGCAGGAAGAAACACTGGTTTGCAGGTCAGAGGAGGTCTCCAGACGGCTGCCATAGTACTTCTAAACAGGAAACATAAACATTAAAACAGATGAGTTTGTGTTAAAAAGGTTGCAGGTTAAGGTGTATTAGATATACTGGATTATTTTACATCTGGGTTTATTGATTGCTTTAAATCGTAACAACAATGTTTTGAAAAAATTTGAACTTTATTGAGCTCACTTTGGAGATATTTGGCTCTGCATTTAACAATTGGTGGTTTAGGGTCTTGCTCAGAAGGCCAAAGTGGCAGTCTGGGGGAGTGGGTTTCGAACTCACAACCCCTATGCCCTAACCACTAGGCCGCCACACCCCCGTAGAGAAATTATTTAAAAATAGTTAAATTGATTGTAAAGTATTTTAACGTTTAAGACACAGAATCAGTTCTACAATGTAAGACTTAAACAGAAAACATCTTTGATGCAAAACAAACTGGAACAGGCAGATATTATATAACATCTGTTAAAATCTCTTTGGGAAACTATTACTTGAAATAAAACATAAAGCTGCACGGAATGTCATGAAGTACCTTCACATTCTCCCGCACGTCGTCACTTTTCGACATCTTGCTTAGGGAATCACTTCCAAAGTGCTATAAAGTTATTAGACCATAAACAGCAGGCTGAGGTCAGAGCAGCGCCTTTTCCGAGTCAACCTTTCAGAATAAAAGCCTAATTGTTTTTTCCTCACATTGCTTGTAATCGTTTCAAGCTGTTATCGGGGCCTATAATGTTTTTTAAGATGTATTATAGTATAATTACCTATTTATATATATTTTATATAAATATTTTATGACAATCGTTTTTCATGAAGAACACTAACGTTTCCAATAGATCTAACTAACTGGGATACTTTAAATATATATTTTTCTCCTTCCATCAGTTACACCGATTGCTAATTGTGGAGGGTAACATAAGATAAAAAAAATAGATAGTTAAACACTTCATTTAAATATTTAAAATCTGCTATTTGAATATCATGCATGCATTCGTGATATAACTAACTGCGCCAATTATTTTGTTTTGCAACTGTTTAAACCTTGATTAAGTAAAAAGAAAATTTAGTTTCGTAAAAGGGCAACTAAATAGAACTCGTTATATTTCAGTGATTTTCTATACTGAGATAAAAAAAACTGGATAACAAAATAACAGTACACAACAAAAATGTAACAGAAATATTTCTATCATCACAAGACCACAAACTGTGTAATAATTCTTCCAAATTTATAGATTATATAGTAATATATTACAAGTATCCCATCTTGTCTCAAAGTGTAGCTAAATTAACACTAATACCTACAATGTACACTCCAGAACGACAGGAGACAGTATTGTGCCGGAAATGAAATTGATATTCACAAAAAATGCGCTTCTTTTACGTTTTGCGCTTCTTTTTGGCGTAGAGTGTGCTTCTTAACGTAGGCAGAAGCGATTCAGTTTTACGTAATTACTACGTGAATCCCTCTGAGCTGCGCTCGTCGTGTGGCCACCGTCGTGCTTTGGAAATAGCTCGGCACAACGCTGAAGTGGATCAAAAGCGCCATACGGTCGTCGAGTCTGAAAAGATGTTGTAAAAACTGTTATTGAGTAGTAAGAGGCTGTTTTAACGTACAGAAACTGCACTCGGCGCAAAGTCATCGAGGTGGGTCAACGTTTATATGCTTTTTTTTGTTCTGTTACTTAACATGCAGCCATTAGCCACTTACGGGGACGTTAGCATTATGCTAGCGTTTAACATGTAACATTGGCCTATACGCACTGTTATATATACTTCTCCTGATATGCGGAAAAGTTCATGTTTAGTCTTTTTTTTGTTAAATAACGTTAAACTACGACGATTTTCTTTGTTGCACTGTTTATGTAGCTGCTTTATTTCTGATTGTATTTGGTTTGTGTTTGCGCCTCCTGTGGAAGCCTTGTTGAGCTAACTAAGTTAGCATGGTGCGCGAACAAGAAGCTGCTATTATCTTAGTTTGTTTCTAAACAAAGAAATATTTTTTAAATGCATATGTGGGTCTGCATATCTTAGTTTCGCAGCTATAACCTTTCCCCAAATTTTGGCGTATGGCTTTACATCTATTATTTACATTTTATAGCTATCATACTTTCCCTCGAGGTAAAAGTAATTTCCTATCAAATACAGCCCCCTCTTAAAACGTCGTAATCAAGCATTTGTTCATGTTTACTTTGGCTTTGAATCGATTTTTTTAAATGGGATTAGTCTAGAAGATGTGTATAAATCGACAACTAAAGTATTTTTTAAAAACTCCATTTCTGATAGCTTTGCCCCTTGGCTCAAATTGAAAATTATAATTTTAAATATGAAAAGGAACACTAAATTTCATAAAAATGTTTGATATTTCTCTGTGTTCAATTCTTCAATCATTTATTTTCTCCCTTTATCAGTTTGTTCATAGAAGCTGGCTTAACGTACTTGATATTTTCCTTTGTGCCTTCCTTTGTTACTAACACTGATTTGTGTTCTTCTAGTGAGGGACAATGGCAGCTCCCTATCCTTACAGAGTAGTCCCTCCGGGGTTGCCACCAGGTGTGCCTCCAGGTGTACCTCCGGTAGTACCCCCAGGTGTCCCACCGGGCGTTCCTCCAGTTGTCCCCCCTCCTGCACCAATTCCAGACTACATGTCTGAGGAAAAACTTCAGGAAAAAGGTAATATTTCACTTTAGATAGGGAAATATGAAGTTAGTAATATTTTATATTTTAATAATTCTTAAAATGTCTGGATTTTGATGCCCTTTCCAGCAAGGAAGTGGCAGCAGCTGCAGGCCAAACGCTATGCAGAGAAAAGGAAGTTTGGCTTTGTGGACGCCCAGAAAGAAGACATGCCCCCCGAGCATGTCCGAAAGATCATTAGGGACCATGGAGATATGACCAATAGAAAGTTCCGCCACGACAAAAGAGTCTACCTGGGGTAAAATCGAGTTCTCTGAATTATTTTTTTTTTCTTCTACTCATTCAGTTTATAATTATAATTTTAAACATTTTAATCAGTTTGCCTGCACAACGATATTTCCCATTTAGTTGAAACCTTGTTTTGTCCCTAAAGATGATTATCCTGTTGTGTTGCAGTGCTCTGAAGTACATGCCTCACGCAGTGCTGAAGCTCCTGGAAAACATGCCGATGCCCTGGGAGCAGATCAGAGATGTCCCTGTGCTCTACCACATCACTGGAGCCATTTCCTTTGTGAATGAAATCCCTTGGGTCATAGAACCTGTCTACATTGCCCAATGGGGGTAAGAGATCTAGTCACGTATTAAGTTTTGGAGTTTTATTAAACTGCTTCCCTGAAAGTTGGAGCTGGTTCACTTTTTGAAAAACTTTTTTTAATATTGTCTGTTGATTTCTCAAAAAATCTCAGCACCATGTGGATCATGATGCGTCGTGAGAAGCGTGACAGACGGCACTTCAAAAGGATGAGGTTTCCACCGTTTGATGATGAGGAGCCACCGCTGGACTATGCTGACAACATCCTGGATGTAGAACCTCTGGAGGCCATTCAGATGGAGCTCGATTCTGAGGAGGATTCTTCAGTTGTGGACTGGTTCTATGAGCACCAGCCCCTCAAGGATAATACCAAGTGAGTGGTGTTTTATTGAAAGTTGAACTGCAGCATGACTTGATGTCATAAACATTTGTTTTATTAATCTTTCAGATTTGTGAACGGCACAACTTACCGTCGCTGGCAGTTCACGCTCCCGATGATGTCCACCCTCTATCGATTGGCCAATCAGCTTTTAACAGATCTGGTGGACTTCAATTACTTTTACCTTTTTGACCTGAAGGCCTTCTTCACTTCAAAAGCTTTAAACATGGCCATTCCAGGAGGACCAAAGTTTGAGCCACTGGTCAGAGACATAAACCTGCAGTAAGTACCTTTGCATCAAGTTAGAAACACTGACAGGAAATCGATTTATCACTGTTGGATTGATTTGATCTTTGGAATTTGAAGATTTTTAACTGGGGGTACATGAACATGCAGTATATGAAAAATATGTTTACAGACTTAAAGCAATTCTGGCATCAGAATTGTTTATTAAAACAGGTAATATTTACCTATTTTTGGCATCTAAACATTGTTTACAGACCAGACTTTTTGACCATATGACATTCCAACAAAATTAAAAACAAACCACTGAACTTTCTTTTCTAAGTCTGAAGATGTTTTGCTTCCCATCCAGGAAGATTTCTGAGTTCAAAATGTCTGGATTAGTGTTGAGTTCCAGGCTTATAGAGCTGCACAACCAAAGTGTTGTTATGGCTTAGATAACAAGCAAATTAAACTGAACTTTGTTAGAATGACTGACCTGGATGACTGAGAATCTTCATGACCACATGACATGTTAAGATTTTGTCTGATTTAGGTGTCAAATTAACTATGGGTTCCACCTTTTTTATGTATTGCTGCAGGCGGCATTTCAACACACTTTTAATAAAAAAAAAAATTCAAAAGTTAATTCACACCTGCCAAAAGGAAGGAGTAAACAATACAGTCTACAGCCACATGAGGGCACTCTCTTGACACAATGACCCTAAAAAGAAAATCATTTTGCAATTTCATGCTACTGGTTTTTGAATGTTTAGCTGCTGACTGTTTTTGAGCAGTGAAAATATGGTTTGAGTCGACAGAAAACTTATAAGGGGCTGCCGATAAACAGGGGTTACTCTTATTGCATTGAAGAGAATAAAGACAGTAGATCTGGGACTAGAGGCATCTGTGCACTTTTTTTCCCCATTCCCTCTTAAAGACAGACTTTTCAGGGACTTTTTCTTGGTTTTGCCATTTCACGCAACTTGAATGCATTTGTCAGAACGTGAAAAATTTTAAAACTGACTTCTAACCTCAGGGCAATAGTTTCTGTATGGTGGTTAACGTTTTATAGGGCACTTTAATAAACTCTGAAATGAACCCACAATTAAAAATTTCTCTAAAATTCTTTTTCACCCTAGGCGTCTCCTAACGTACTTATTAATCACTTTTGGCATCCATTTATTAGCAGGGTATGCTAACATTAGCTCTAGCTACCTAAGTGTGTGTAACATTAAACAAAGCATTAAGGCAGGTGATTTGCCTGAATTAATTTTAGCAATAAAGGTCCTCGAATTATTAGAATAGTTTTCACGGCCCTAAACCACATAGCTGCACCAGAAGCCAGCCTCAGCAGTTTGCTGGTTCATGGTGTATAGAACGTGAAGCCCGACCAGATAAAAAATTTCCTTGCCTAAATATTTTTGGAAAATCTTTGAATTTGGGGATTTTAAAATATATAAATGCTTCCATCTTCTCTAGGGATGAAGACTGGAACGAGTTCAACGACATCAACAAAATCATCATCCGGCAACCAATCAGGACAGAGTACAAGATTGCTTTCCCATATCTGTACAATAACTTGCCGCACCACGTCCATCTTACCTGGTAAGAACCACATTTTGGAATGCTTGTTTTAGTGAATGCAAGGGGGATTTAAGACATTCCCCGTTTCTGTTGAAATGTTGCTATTATGCACTTTTTGTACAAGCTAGGCTCTTACAGTGGTTTTCCGCAGGTACCATACACCCAATGTGGAATTTATCAAGACTGAGGATCCGGATCTTCCAGCGTTCTACTTTGATCCACTGATCAACCCGATCTCCCACAGACATTCA